CAGGCAGTCGAGACACTTGGTCATAAAACACTAGACACACAAACACAGCCAGTGAAAGTACAGTTGAAGTTCTAGTGGTGTGTGTGTGCGTGTGTGTGTGTGTGCGTGTGTGTGTGTGTGTGTGTGTGTGTGTGTGTGTGTAGTATAGCCTATGTAGGAGTAAGCATGCAAGTGCCAGAGTTTGTGTGTCTGTGAGGTGTAATCGAGGTGATGATGTACGGCTGCACACATGGATGACAGGGTAATTGATCCATAGTGGGGGCGTGGTTGTGCGGGTGTGCTTGTGAGGAGGCTTAGTGCCATGTCATATATTTTTCACCCAGTGAGCTAATCTGTTACTCTGAAAAAAAGAGTTCAGATTACTGAACTCTCCTCTCCTTTCCGTCCTCGCTTCTCAAGCCTTCAACACTCTCCTCCTTAACACTTATCCTCTCTTTTTTCCCACACTCTGTGTTTTATTTCTCATTCTTTGATTCCTCCATACAATATATCAAAGCATTCTCCTTCTCTGTCTCTCTCTCTGACTGTCTCTCCATTGCTTTCTCTCTCTCTCTCTCTCTCTTCAAGTAACACGGATGAATCATGGATAGCCAAGCCACCGGATTTGTCTTCTACACCGTTCTCTGGCAGCACAGTTAAACTCAGCATGTGGATTGCGAGATAACAAAATAGAGACACACATGCATGCAAGATCCCTGTGCTGCTTGGAAGACCTGAAAATCAACCTAATTCCTTTGGGATCTGTGGCATTTGCACACATACATCGTCACCCACAGACATGTATACTCACTCACATGCGCGCACTCCAACTGGTGGCCTCCCAATCACACAGGGAAGGATTCAACATGTGCCAATCAGAGTGCTCGGTGCATTTCTGTCACAGAATAGATAGTCAATTCCCACAGAGAGAGGCTTTGCAGACCACAGCCCAGGAGAGTCCCTGTTTTGCGTACATGGAGAGGCCCATGCTAGCACACACACACACACACAAACACAGCCACGTGGACATATTAATAGAGCAGCTCAAAATAATCTAATCACGTTTGCTTTTCACACATTTCCTTCAATCACTGAAAGGGAAATCAGCTCAACGAAAACAACAGAAATGGAGGAAAATGCTGTCGGACCATGAGATAATCCTCACAGGCATGAGATGTTTGCCACATGGCCTTTCATATCATAATCAGAGCTGTTAATGAGAGCAGACGATGTACAATGGAGCAGATGCAAAACCTCATAGAGAAAATGTAAAAAGCAATATTTCATGGCCTGTCTGTTCCTCTCAGCCCCCTTAGCCCATCGGTTCCTGAAGAAGTAGATCTTTAAAGCAGCTATATGGTCAATATTTCTATCTATCTAGTATTTACAGCCACAGGATTTGCTCGACATGTAGCATCAGGTAATTGTTGGTTCTGGGTCTTTTTGTGGGATTTGTTGCCATAAGAAAAATATGGAATAACATCAGACCTATATATTTTAAGAAAAAGGCTATTTCCCATGGCCTCCATCTGTTACAATACATTCTAACTGTCATCCTAAAACGTACCCAGCACAATACTGCGTAACATTTGATTGTCATGTAAACACATCAAAGTAAAGATGAAAGCTTGTTCCACAGTATTATGTGTACAAACGTGCTTAACGTGTTTAAAAGCCTTGCCAGATGACTCTTATTAGCAAAACCACGTGAGTGCATCGCTTCATTTGGAATAAACACACAGAAACACACACGTTGTGTTCTGTGTAGCATTGGCAGGCAGTAATACCAGCATTAGCATATGAAAGACGGCAGCTGGAAGGTGTAGCTGTCACTGTTGTTGTTTCTTGTTGCTTGTTGTGTTATTCATTTGGATGGCAGCTCCTCTGTTCCTGCTAACCCTCGCCACTTTTGCACTCCCTCGCGTCTTTCTGTGTGTCTCCTTCTGTCTTGTCAGTCATGTCTCCTCTTTTTTCTCCCCCATGTATCATACCCTTCTGGGAATGTAGGGGATATACAGCACACATGCATGTACGAAGGGTGGACACTCATTCCAGACAGCTCGTATATTTGTGGTAATTTTTCTCGGTCAGAATTCAAACATATGCTGACTCTCTGGAAATTCTAAAACGTATTCCCTCAAAGTTCCCACTAATCTAAGAATCTCTGCATTAATTTGTAAACTTGAAAGAGCTGAATAAGCTTCTTTTTCTTTTACTCGAGCAGTGCCTTTTAGAAGAATGTGATTTACAGTGTTAAATAAGATAAAGTAGATCACTCATCACAGAGCGTTAGTGGAGTTGAAAGACAGAGCTGCCCTCGCCAAAGAACACTTTTTTCTCAAATAGCAGCAGGGTGCCACCTACCAACTGAACTCTCTCTCCTCCTGTCTGCTTCCGTCTTTCTCCCACTCAAAGATGTAAATGTTCAAACAGACTAATTCCTTCAAAGCGCTGATGAGCATGAAAGATCATTCTCTGCCCTCATTGCTAATTGATGGCCTTGCATGCAGCATGAAAGCTCCATGAGGCATGCTTGAGACTCTCATTAGCGTTAACTACACTAGAGTTAGCCGCATTAAAATTACATGACATCCTAGACACACCTTATACCGATCTGCTTTCTGTCACGTTAAATGTCATTTACACTACATGGAAATGAGCTGAATGATGTCATTGCCAAAGAAAAAGAGGCCTGATAGCCGCAGTGTTTATTCAGGTGGTCAGACTATCGTTGCTCTCTTCCTCACCTTTCCTTGTGACTGGTCACACCACCGGTTCATGCTTCTTTTTCAGCTTGAGCTTTCCCCCTGGGACAGCCAGTGTGGCATGGGACCGTAGGCAGTTGTTGAACCTCAGACACAAGAGCAACATGACAGATTGACTGACAACATTTCCCAGCTGGTATGGCAGCACCTGGAGATCCTCCAGGGAGAGCTGGGAGGATGCTGCTTTTAGAAAAGGTCATCTATGACGCTCTGCTTGTCCTGTGAATGAATGCAGGGCAAGATGCATTTAGTCGTTTTTGTAAAATAACTCTAACCTCCTTTAAAACGACATCAATTTATTCAAGCTGTGAACCCAACATTGTCACATGTTAACTATATTAAGTCAATATTCTCTCTTCTTTACCTCTGTTGTCTGTCTTTAGCTGCTGAAGTCTCCATTGTGTTCACCTGCTAGTCGCTAACTGGGTCTGATATTTGGTGCTGAGCAGGTCGTGATTTTACAGCTTTTTCACTGGAAACAGCTGCCTGATGAACCAGGTTAATGACAGCAGTGAATGTGAGTGCGGGCTATAAGAAATAAAACAAAACAATGAGCTGAAAGACACCAAAACTGTAAATGTGTGTTATACTGTACCCCTCTGTTCACCCCACCCTTTCCAAGCCCGTATGGATGGGTATCTTTAGGATTTTATTACTACTAGGAGCTACTCTTATCAATACTATGTTCTTCTTCACGACTAAATAATTGCTTTTAATAACAAATACATTCAGAACAGGATTAGAATTGATTTATATTTTAAATATAATTAAATATTGTTTCTAGAGCAGCAAAAGTAATGTTTACAACAGCAAAGTCATTAATATCTGGAAATAAACAAAATAATTAACAAGTTCATAAAGAACGATGAACACAGACGTCCATCAGTATCCGTCAGTATTGTCAATTGGTTTGTAAAATGCTTTTGTGCTGTGTTTGTGTAAACAGTGGATTAGAGACTGTGGACACAGCCGATTGAATTAGGTTTTGCTTTTGTTTACATGTTCCTGCTTGTTGAACAGATGTATTCATAAAGTTTTGGCTTTTTAACTATTATCCACACTCATGTCAAAGGATTAAGTGGCAACAACTCCACCAATCAGTGGTCCAGCAGTAACACGCGTAGGCTTGAGGACATGCTGGATCGCAGCCTCCTCACATACAGTTGACTTTGATGAACACAGCAAGGAGGAAATGAAGAGCATCGTGTCACCACCCGATGTTCTGCTCTGCTGTGTTCTCAAAATGTCGCTCCTTTACGCTTCGTCAGGTTTTACACAAACGTAGACACAACAGGAGTGCATCAGAGACATCTCTACAGGAATAGACTGTCCTCAACAGGCTTTGTCACCAGGCTGCATTGTTTGCATTCAGCGCCAAACACGGAACTACTGTAGCCAGATGTTTTCAAAGAATGTATGCATTGATTAAGCATAGAAGTAAGTAGATTACCAAACGCTCATACGTGTTGATTATAGGAATGCAGAGAGTGATGATCCTTTAACTTATCAGATATCCATGTGT